GGGGTCCAGCCCCAGGAGGCAGTGAAGCTGTGTGGCTTCCCCTGGAGGCGGAGTGAGACCCCTTGGGGGCCTGTCCACATGCTGGGGCCCTGGCCCTGATCCTGGGGGTCCGGACACCCAACATGGGGTGAGTGGTGCCTGGGCTATTCCCCTGCTGGTGCAGGGAAAGGCACCGGCAGTGGCTGCACTGGGAATCTCTGGATGTGGGGGGTGGGGGGGAAGAGAAGCTGGATCTGCCCCTCCCAGTCCCTGCCCCGCTGGGGGGTGCTATGCGGTGAAGTGCATGAGGAGGGGGAAGGGCGCAGGTTCCCCCCCCTGCACAATCTCCCCGCCCCTCAGCTCAGTTCTAGCTGGGGCACGTCACCGCCCCCTCCGCTCACCTCCTCGTTGTCGTACAGCGCAATCAGGCGGACGTTGGGCTCCTGGGAGAGGGAGCCGGGAGCCTCGCAGGAGTCGATCAGGGCCTGCAGGGGACAGAACATGGGGCTGAGCCGGCGCATTCCTGGGGGCAGAGCCCCCAGAGCCACAGCACCCGCAGAGCGAGCGCCAGGCAAACAGCCCCTCGACCCCGAAACGTGCCCAGCCCCGCTGCCGTCCTGCCGGAAGGGGAGTCCCCATAGGGCCCTGCTGACGCCCTGCTCCCCAGAGAGAAGCGCAGAGCAGGGGGGGGGGGGGGACATGACCCCCCCCAGTGCAGGCCCCCCCACTCACCTGCAGGGCGCAGTAGCAGCTGTGCAGATTGTCCAGGCGGGGGGAGAAGATGAACTCGTCAAAGGCGCCGCCTAACGTCTGAAACGAGACGAGCAAACGGGGCCCGTCACCTGGGCTGGGGGAGCTGGCGGAGCTGGGCAGTCCCATCCCAGCAGGGCTCTGGGCCCTGGGCCCCTGCACGTACGCACAGAGCCAGATGCTCGGGCGCTGCCCCACCACGCCCTGGGCAAGCACCGCCCTCCGGGAGCAGGGCTGAGGGGTACCGGTGCCCTGGGGAGTCGGCTCCGGCCCCAGCTGCACACCGCCTGAGGACTGACCCCAGCCCTGCTTGGGGACTGCCCTGGGGCTCTGCTGCATGGAGTGGGGGGCAGCCTCCGAGGAGGAGGGCACAAGCTGGGGGCTGGCTCGGCTGGGCAGGTGTGGATGAGCCGCGGGTCGTCCAGCCATGCCAGGCTCCCGAGCGCTCTGGGCGACAGCACGGACCGAGCTTTGACCTCCCTAAGGGCTTCCTCTGCTGTGCCCAGGTGACTAACCCCCCGCCGAGGGACAAATCCTGGCTGAGGTGCACCAGTCCCTGAGGAGCGGGGTCCCCAGAAGTGGGGCTCAGGGGAGTGGCCAGCAGGGGGAGCAGCTGATGGGGGCTCGGAGAGCTGTAGGAACCAGGGCAGACGGGGCAGGCTGCCTGGGCCTGGATGACAGGGTTTGCCCAGGGCGGAGGGGCAAACTCCTCTGCCCAGCCACAGCGCTCTGCAGCTCGGGCCCAGAGCGCGAACAATGCGACTGAGCGTCGGAGGGACGCAGCCAGCCAGCTCCTCGGGGCTCCCACCCCAGGCCCAGCGCGTGGCCTGTTGGACTCCCCTGGGCGCAGGCACATCTGACCCCCAGAGGAGCGGCAAGGGGTGGAGAGATCCCTTGTCAGACCCGATGTGGTGCAGCCCCGCAAAGGCTGAAGGGTTGTGACCGGGCTAAGGCCCCAAACATGGAGCCATTCGCCCTGCCTCTGGCTCAGAGCCCCGGGCAGACCCCGGAGGGCCGGTCGTTGGGGGTCCCCAGGACATCAGCTCAGACGTCCTCGTGGGGAACGACGGGGTCAGGGTACGACAAAGCTCAGCCCCTGTCTCTGCACCAGCCCAGGGTGTGCACCAGAGGGGGGTGTCAGTGAAACGCAGGGAGCGGGAGGGTCCTTCCCCCGGGGGGGGAACATGAAGGAAAGAGCCCTGGATCGGCGGCCCCCCCAGCTCCACGGGAGACGTGAGTCACACGGGCGGGCGCCGGGGGGGGGGCAGCCGAGGGCAGCCCTACACTTCCCGTGCTGCAGCGCCGTGAAGATGCTCCTGCACCAATGGGAGAGCTGCTGACAGCTAGTGACTCCGCCTCTGCGGGGGGGGGGGGTTGCTGGGAGCAGCCCCGCCCCCACCCCAGCTGTCCACCTGGGGGTTTGGTCGCTCGGGGTGGGGAGTTTTCCCAGCCCTGAGCCACGGAGCTAAACCCACGTCTGGTGTAGCCCCAGCCCCAGCCCCCGGCTGAGCGCGGGGAGCTCCCGGCAGGGCAGGGTGACGGGCAGACGGGTTTGCCCTGCCCAGGGCGGAGAGGCCCTAGCGGGGAGGGACAGAGCGTGGCCAGGGCGGGGTCTCGTACCCGCGGGAGGAGCTGGGAAAACCCAGCCCCCGAGTGGCGGAGTGAAGCCGGCCTAGCTCCAGTGCAGCCAGCGCTTGGGGGATGGACGAATGCGGCTGTTGCGCTGGGGGGCGACTGCCGGCACCCAGGGGAGAACCCCGCCTGGCACGCAGCTCGCGTCTACACGGAAGCACCACAGCATCTGCAGTGAGACGAGCCCTGTCTGGGCGCACTGAGGACTCGCTAGGGAACTGGCTGAGACCCACCCAGATCAAGGTGGTCGCCAGCCAGACGCCAGGACTTCCCCACCCCTGGGCACCCAGGCTGAGCAAATCCTCCAGCTCCAAACCAACCGACTGGGAGGGGGGAGGCACCCTGCTCCCTCCCCCTCCCAGGGGGTGTTTCAGCTGGACTTGCCCGGTTGCAGCAGGAGGCTGGCGCCCACAGGTCCAGTCTAGGAGGCGGGGGAAGGGTGGGCCCTGGGGGGGTCTGGCACATCACACCAAGGGACTGACCTAGAGCTGGGGGCATGGCCCCGATCCTGTGGGTCTGTGACAACATGAAGGATGGTCCCTGCCTCCTCCCGACCCGGGCAGCTCCTCACCGGCCGGGCCGGGCCGGGCCGGGCCGCTCAGCCCTGTGCCAGTCAGCCTGGGTCCCGGGCACTCACCGCTGGCTGCGTATCCGCCAGACACAGCTCCATCTCCACAATCTGCTCCGGCTTCACGCCCAGCTGGGAGCAGAGCAGGGACAGCAGGGCGGGGGCGTGCCGCTCCGTCTGGGGAGAGAGCAGAGCCCCCCAGGGGAGGTGAACGCCCTGCACAGGCCACGAGACCCCCCTCCCCCAGGGCAGCACCGCCCGGCCCCGGCCCCGGCCCCCCCGGCTCTCCCAGGAACACTGCAGCTCCTGGCTGGGTTTCCCCCGGCCCGCCCAGCAGGGGACACTCGGTGCACAAACCCCCATGGTGGGGAGCTGGGCTCTGACACCCCCAGGGGCCCTGCCTCACCTGGGCATCAGCAGCGCAGGGAGCCCCAGCCTTGGGTGCCCCCTTCTCCAGCTCCTCCTGGATGGTAGTGGCCAGGATGGGCACCCTGCGGGGGAAAGGGCTCGGTCGGTCACCTGGGCATTTCCAACCCGCTCGGCTGCTCCCGCATCCCGGGGCAATCGCCAGAGCGAGCCCCTCCCCGGGCACGCCCTCGCCCTGCTCCCCGGGGGCCCACCAGCCGACTGGCAGAGAAAGGGGTGTCGATGCCCCTGGGAGTGACTGAGGGGGAAGTCCTGCCCCAGGCCTGCCATCCACCCCCCCATCTCTGTGCCCGCCACGGTACCCTGTGCCTCGCAGGCAGCCCCCCAGACCTGACAGCATGTGCCCCGGGGACACCTGGGCTGTGAGCCGGCTGGGGAGGCCTCTTGGCACACAGCCGGGCCAGGCCCCTGGGGAGAGCACGGGGAACGTTAGCGCCCAGGCTCTGGCGTGGGATGGGGACGCTCAGGGCTCACAGGTGCTGCTCCGTGTTGGGCCCAAAGCTCTCGTTAACGCTGCGCTGCAGGTGGATGGCCAGGTGGGGGATGCGCAAGACGGGCCGCTCCACCCACACCAGCCGCTGCTCCAGCCGCCCCGCAGCCAGGTCCTGAAACAAAGCAGGGAAGGCGGGTCAGCGAGCCCTTCCCAGGGACCTCCCCTGTCCCCACCCACAGGAGTCAGCCCTCGTCCAGGGGAAGGACAGGCCTGGCCCCCAGCAATCCACGGGGTGAGGGTCTCTGCCTGCCTGGGGTGTTCCCTCTGCACCTGCCCCCCCAGCCGCCCACCATGTGGGGTGAAGAGGGCGGCAGTGCAGGACCCCCACCCCCATATCCCTGCAGACGGGGGAGGTGTGTGTTCCACGCCCGGGGTAGGGAGTCGGAACCTGCTGACTTCTGAGGGGGAGTGTGGGTGCGACGGACGGACGGACAGACTCTAGGGTCCGGGACCCGTGGACGGGAGCAGATCCCACCATGAGCTGAGAGCTGCAGACGCGGAGCTGCGGGCCAGGCCAGACTCACCTTTACGATCACCCGCCCGGCCACAGTCAGGTCCCGGTCGAACCAGGTGCTCCAAATCCCACCTCCATAGGTCTCCACGCCCACCTGCACCAGGCCCACCTGGCCTCTCTTGGAGCGACGCTTCACCTATGTGAGAGCAGCAGTAGGTCACCAGCCGGTGGGGCCGGGCTCTGCCACAGCCACCCGGGCACCGGCAGCAGCAGCGGGGAGGCCACCAAGGACAGGGCTCCGGGGGGGGGGGGGGGACACACACGAAGCCAGGCCCTGGGGGCGGGAGAGCGAGGCTCCTTGAGATCCCGCCTGTGACGTTATGAGTGTGATATAATATCTCATTGAAAGGTGACAGGGCCAGAAAGAGTTAATCAACTCCCAGACTGACCTGAGCCATGGCCCAACTTTAGAGGAAGATCTGTAAATGAACAGAGCTTGGAAATGCAGCCGGCAGTGTTAGAGGTAGAAGGGGAGCTGTGTGCTCAGGGCTTGTGATGTAAG